ATCACCAATGCAAGCTACATGTGTAAAAGGCAACAATATCTAGGAGAACTCCATCATTGTAGATTAGATCCTCCACTCTATAATGATAAAAAAAGGGAAACAAAGGCTAGATAGTTACAAAATGCAACATGGAAAAAATCTTCAACATAATTGAATGTTCTTTCCTAATTTAAATTATAAGGAATCTGAGATTTTTTTTATCAATGGTACTTCTTTAGAGGCAAAAACTCAAAAATAGAAATTGGGTAGGGAGATTCAGTATCTCCCCTATATGTTCATTATATACACCAAAGTTTAATAAAAATATTAAATAAAGCTAAAAGTGAAGAAAAAATTCTTGAAATTTTCTTGAAATTAGAGTATTCAGGAATATCTTTTTTATCAAGTATCTATTGTTGTAGATAATTTGGTTATTTTCTGCCAGTAAGGGAGGAAGAAGAAAAAACTATAACAGCATGTATTCAATCATATTGTGAATGGTCTAACCAAAAAATAAATCCTATATTCTATTCAATGAGAATATGGGAAAAAAAAAACATAGCAAACTAAAAAATTTAATAGGCCTTAAACTAGCCCTAAGTAGTACCAAATATTTAGGCCTCCCTTTGATAATGGGAAGAACAACTAATGCTATTTTCCAAAAATTAGTAGATAAATTTGAAACAAAGTTGGAAGAGTAAAAAGACAGTAGTGATAAAAGTTCGGTTAGAATTTGAGATGACTCATGGATCTTTAAAATGGAGGGCTATACACCGCTGTAAGGTAGTTATTTATGTTGTCTCCTTGTCTCCCAATTAATCAACCACTCAATGATGGAGTGAGATCCACAATTGTTTAAAATGAATTTTAACTAAGAGGTGTGCCATGAAAGTCTAAAAATCAGACTATCAATTTTCTAAATAAAAGATAAATTGATTTAGATACTAGTTTCTAATGACAAAATATAGCGTTAAATCCAACTAAAAAATTCTTAATTATTTTGTCCATTTAATAAATTCTTAAGATCAACGTACTGTTCATAGGAAGCTGCAAGAAGCAAAAATCTTGGAAAGATACAAAGTGTAGTGGTAGCATTTACTAATCAAATACCTTTCTAACATATCAGAAGACCCTCCTACTGGTGACAAATAATTAGCCTCTATGCATGCATAAAAAATAAATATATAATCATTTATTTGTTAAATGTCATACTATTAGAACTCTGTGATTATCTTTAAAATTGAAGTTTATATTTGATAACATAAGAATAAAATTTATGGGAGAGCTACTAAAAACTATTCTTACCACGCATGACAAATAAAATATCTATAAAGAAAAGTGGTGGGAAATACTCTTGTTTGCTTCAATCATGGCCGACCTAGTATGTAAATGGAGGAATGCAATCAAATACAAAAAAGGTTACTCGGAAGACACACCAGCCTCTCCTTTTCTTCATTGAACTTCGATCATTCTTTCAATTTTTAAAAAAAATTCTGTTGGAAAAAGAAGATAACTATTAGAAGATTCATATTTAAATTGAAAATAACAATGCAGTAAGAAACTATTGTGATGCAACATCACAAAGAGATGAAAAAATAATCTTGTGCATTTGGGCATACGGGAAAGGAAAACAAGCATGGACAGACCAACTAGTTACCTCCAACCCATTAGTTGTTGAATAACATTGTGAAACAATTCTTCTATGTCTACGAAAAGCCTCTAAAAATGGACTGAATAAAGTTGCAATGTTTTCTGACTACTAACTTGTTGTAAGGCCTTTTAATTTTGATGTAGAAAATATTAATTGGTGTATGGAAAAAATTGGCGACAAAGGAAGATGGACGGCAGCCGACTGGTGATAAAGGACGAGAACTAATAGCTAGTGGGCGACAACTAGCTGAGGCTGGAGGGTGACCAACGAGTAGCAGTTGATGGCTGCAGACAACAATAGCAGTAATTTGACAAAGTAAAAGAAATAGTTACGTATAATTTTATAAGGGAAACTTTGTAATAAAAATATTATAGTTAAAATCGTTTTTCAAAAGTTAGTATCTATAGTTTTTATATTTATATATATTAAATGCAGATTTTGACTTTAATGTTAGTTAAAAGCAGTTTTACACAAACACTTTAGTTGATTACGTTATTTAAAAAAAAAAAAAACAACAAAAAAAAAACACCGCAATTCCTCGTTTGTGCCATTTCTTCCGTCCGAAACGACATCGCATCAGCCGAGTGTTACGGTTCTGTCTACGTCCTGGTTTTCATCGAACCCGTTGTCTCCCTTTTTCCCTCTCGCTCGCTCTCTCGCTCTCTACAGTTAGATCTCTGTGTGGGGACCTGGGGAAGAGAATACCGAGTGCAGTGAGGCGACAAGAGGGAAAAGAATAAAGAAAAGGAAGAGAAGATGGCAGCGGCGTCGTTTAGGTGGATATTACAGCTGCACAGGGACGTGCCAAAAGCAGCTAGCTTTTACTCTCAGGGACTCGACTTCACTGTCAACGTTTGCACTCTTCGCTGGGCCGAGCTCCAGTCGGGTCCTCTCAAGCTTGCCCTTATGCAATCACCAAAGTGTGCTCTTTCTCTCTCTCTCTTTCTCTTTTTCTGTGCTCATCCCTTGGACGGATGCCCGACATCTGTTTGATGATTTGCCTCAAAAAAATTGTTTGCTTTAATACAATCACAAATTATAGCTGTTGATTGTTCCTTGTTTTAAAATTTTGCTACTTAATTGATGTTGATTTTGGTTACATTGGATAGAAACGGGTTGTTATCATCGTTAGACGAGAAGCCGTTTCTAGATATCATATTTGGTTTTGCAATTGGCATTTTGATTTAAAAGTATTTAATCATGTGTAGCCACTTTTTTTTTTTTGAAGTTTTGTTAGAGGATTTAGTTCAATTATGGGCTTCCTTCGCTGATTGCTTAAAGAAAGGAGGTAGCAAAGCTAACTTATACCACCTCTCATCGGACAAAAGATGATAGCAATTTCAAGTAGGCTAGCTTGTCTAATTGACCAATAGAAAACAGAGTGCCACATCCTCTTACTAATAAGTATAATCAAAATAACACCTATATCTAACTAATATTCCCTAAATAGCCTATGTAATATGCAAACGAATGAAAATGCTAAACTTTATATAAGTAATATAAAAATATTTTCTGGTTCCGCCTTCTCTTGAGTGTTTATTGAGCTTCTGCATTGAAGGGCATGGGGTGAAAAAGGAGGCTAGGATCCTTTGAAGAGGAGCCTTTTTGCTGCTCAATGGGTTTTGTGGTTGGAGTGTAATAGTAGGATCTTCAACCATCACTGTTTCCCTTCTCACCCACCTTGGGACAGATTGATTTCTTTGGCCTCTTTGGTGGGCTAAGACACATGGTTGTTTAGAGATGTATTTATTTTAAAGTTATATCTTTATTTTGTTACAAATGAATTATGGAGCTATTTCCAACTTACTTTTGTTTTATTTGTCCTCCATTTCTTTTTGGAGACTTTTAAGTGGATGACTCATTCTCCTTGTATGTAGTTATCCTTTTTCCCTATTTTCTAAATATTTCTTCTTCTATCCAAAAAGCCAATTCTAATAGTAAATTGAATCGTAGCTTATTCTCATTTTTATATCTAGAGTATACTACTCTAATTTGTATGGTAGATATATTTAATGTTTCTTTCCAATTGACCATGGCATTAGATCTGGTTTTACAGTGAACATGTCATGCAGACAGGATGCGCTTCGCTACTATCATTCACAGTGACCGACATCAACAATACAGTGACAAAATTAATGGCATTAGGTGCAGAACTAGATGGTCCCATCAAATATGAAATCCATGGGAAGGTAGAAACTTCCTCTACTGTAGATATTTTCAGAGTGAATTTTTCCTCCAGAGTTGGTACTCAAAATATCAGAGTTTTGCATGATTTGCTTGTAATCAGGTTGCAGCCATGCGATGCGTTGATGGTCACATGCTAGGCCTCTATGAACCTGCATAGCACTCCAAACTCCAAAGATAATCTAGTAAAAGGGCTCTTACAGTGGATAACTTGAAGACATGGAGAAGACATGAGAGACTTGTTTCTTCTTCGGATTCCCTTCAATTATGGTCAACTCCTGTTCATCCAAATCTATTACAGCCGTACATAGTGTGCAAAGAGTTGGACCTGAAGAAAATTAGGCCAAGGGGTTAACCAAGTATAAGGATCAAACTGAAGAAGCTCAAATTATAACAAAATTACCTGTCATGTAGATGGGATATCTCGTGTTATCTGTATCTCCTAGAAGGGACAGGAAATCCTGTTTTGATTCCTTTGGTAGCAAAGCTGCCCTCTTTTGTCTACTTGTTGAGTTTTCATCATGTACCTTCGGCACAAAAGCAGGACTTTACATTCTTTTTAATGGATATGACTAATTTTATTGATTGCAAATTCCTTATTTAGTCGGATTCAGAACTGCCTATGTAATTCTATTAGAAGCTACCATACCATGATTCTTTATGAATCATCGAATCAGCACATCAGAAATCAATTGAGAAAATATTTAATTTTACTTTTTTGTTTATTTCTGATGTTGTGACCATATTCTTTTCCTTTGAATAAGGGTGATGATGTGGTAGGCACAATCTTGGTGCAACTTATTTAAACTTATTCCTTACCTGCTGAATCTGAAGATGGAGATACATGTTTGCATGGAAGAATGGTGTTGGCCCAACCTCATAAACTGAGATTCGATATTTCGATGCTGTTTCAACATTCAAAATCTTTCGTTTCTGTAGATCAATTAGATTGTAACTATGCCCCACAGATACTTCTGATGCACGTATTCTCTGAAAATTGAAGGATTTGAATTGCTGATGGAGCAAGCAATATCCTGAAATAGAGATGAAAGAGTAGAGATTCATACAGTTAAGGCATCTTCAATGCTTGTTGCTTCGAGGATGTCTCGAGAAATAAAGTTTCGTCCAATACCACCTGCTACAATCTCATCTTCAGTTGGGGGTACTGAATTCAGTGTGAATGCCTGAGGTATATAATATAAGGATGTTATATTTTCATTAAAATTTTATACATGCTGTTACATTGTTCTTGAAATTTCAGATAAGATTAGAGGTATCATTTCATCTGCTGATTTCTGATAAATCCACAGTTTGTAACTGCTGTATCGTGTGAGCATGTCAACATTATCATGATTTTCTAGGGGATTCAGATCAAATTACTCGAGGGAACAAAGAATCATGATAGTTGCAAAATTTTACCAGTCCTCGATTATTAAATCCAAATGCACAGCTTGGAAGCTCTCCTGCGTATGTGTAAGCAATGAAGGATAGTCTGTTTGAGAGAATTCCCCTAATTAGGTATCTGCATGCCCCATGTAAATTACGTTATGTTGTATAAAAGCTGTCAAATGTTACAATAATTCCTGTTTTTAAGGAACTTAAACAAGGCATGTGAAAAAAAAAAAAAAAAGAACAAATACGTATGGCCTGCTAAAGCTTCATTTGCATCCTCGTTGTGTGCAGCAATGGCCATGGAATCACTGACCACAAGGACATCAGAGCAATCCTCTGAGGTATCATCTGTGTCCTTTGTTCTTGATGCTTTTGTAATGAATGGAAGAATCTCCTTCCTGAAGTTGACTAGTATTAACTGCATATAACATGAACATTGATAGTGTGACTCATATAGAGGATATATATATATATATATATGCTATGAACTTGACATGAGTTTATGATGATGTTACATGAAGAACAGGCACGCCACTTCCCTCTGCAGTGCCTATGAGCTCGTCCCAGTATCTTGGGAATTTCTTTCTGTTGTTCTCGGAGAGTGCTTGAATGAGTGATTGTGCATGTGGGGAGTGACTGAAAGGAAGAAGCTGGTTTTGAAGAGAAGGATCTGTAGCCAACCTGTTTCTTATCAGATGGGAGAACCTCTGCCCTATCAGAAATCCCAGCTCGTATCCATCTTCACATGGCCCCACTTCAAAAATCTCAACCATTTTCCCTTCCAGTGCCTGCTTCTCCAAGTGACCTTTGCCTTTTTATGGGTAATTTAACCGGGAGTACCTTATCCCTTTTATTATCCGTATATTTTAACATATCATCATCCCGTTTTAAACGCTCTAAACAGTGCCCCAAACAGATCAAGAAAAGGGATTTGTTATTTAATGCTTTTACATTTTATTATTTAATAAAACTTGGTTACAATTTGTGTATCTGATTATTTAAATAATTTTTTACTATAATTTATTTCAGTTATTACATTATGAATCTGTACTCTCATTTTGTTAAGGAACAAAGAACCAAAACACTTCATCTGAATTGACAACGTTTCTTTGATTAAATTTTTCATCACGTATGAATTACGTTCAAGTTTTTGTTCTATAAAACCAAAATTTGAATCAAACTTCGATTTTTTGTGTTTGTGTTTGTTATTGGGTTCACTTTTTCAATAAATTTGTTGTTGTCTTGACCCCTCATAAATTATGTTTTTTGTTACAAAACATAAAAATAACATAGAAGTAGGACGATAAAAATAATTACAAAATTGACAAAAAATAAATATAAACTAAACACATTTTTTGTATCTTTCAAATTGTTTTTCAATCTTTATTTATCGGGGTTATAAGATATTATGAATTAATATAGTAACTAAATTAAACCGATGTTGTAAATTAAATTTAATTATATTAATCAACATTCATAATAAAGGCATAAATGATGCCAGTTTCATAAGGATATCCATTTCGAAACAAAAAATATTGCTTTGTTAAAAAGCTTTAACCAAAAAAAAAAAAAAAGAGTAAATATGTAATAAATCTCTCTAGTAGAAATATTACTTTATTTCTCTTAGTTGATGTGTTCCATTATTATATAACAATTTCTTGAATGTAATGATTTGGCAAATAAATCCGTCAAATTGTTATTTGAACAAATTTGTTGAACTTGGATATCACCATTATTTTTAAAATCATGCATGAAAAATAATTTGGATTAAATATGTATTCTTTGATGTATCGTTCTCTCAAGCGAGAATTACGCATGCAATGTTATCTTCATAAAATATTGTGATATTTCTTTAAAAAAAATAGACTTCATGTTTTTAGATATGTACACACATTCTAGACTTGTCTCATTTACAGCAAATATTTCTACATGATTTGAAGAGTAGTAATTATTATCTGTATTATAAATAATCATGATATTGTAGTATTATCATATGTAAATAAATAGTTTGTTTAAAATATTGTTTTGTATGGATCAAATAAATATTCTTCATTAACATAACTAGTTAGTTATTATTTTGATAATTTTGAAGAAATGTATGTTATTTATTGGAGATATTTAAATATATGTTTAATCTCATTCTAATGTCTTTTTGTGGTAGAGTAACTA